GTATGTGCCATATATATATATAAACCGGGTCACGCTTTGATCTCTTGCTGCGCCTGCCAGTAAAGTTGCAGCTTAGGGTCAGCCCAGGACCAGAGGTCCTGCTCCAGGGCACTTCTCGGGGGTAGTCGTCCTGGCTCCAGGGTTAGTGTGCCTTCAACCACCTGCGGCCAGGGGTGGGACGGAGCGTGTGACTTTGCATTTCTGAGCAGACTCAGGTGGGGCTGGAGGAGCAGGTGTGTGGACCTCGCTGGGACTGCAGCCCCACCCCCCTGGGACCTGAGCACGGGTGGGTGGAGGAAGGCGCCTCTCTCCTTCCCCAAGCACCCGGCTACCTCCTCTCCCACCTCCCCGGGACAATGCCCACCCTGGGAAGCCGGTGGTCCACACACATGCTGTTCCCCACCCCCTGACCCCCTGCCTTTCCTTCCCGAGGACAGCTCTGGTGGCCTCCCCCACCGCCCCACAAGATGCATAGGACCTGACAGCTCTGGTGCTCCCTCCCCCGCAAGATGCATGGGACCTTCCGCTCTGCCTGGAGCCAGCGAGGATTACAGCAGTCAGCAGAATCCAGTCCTGTTCGGGGTGAGCTCTAGGCTCCTCCCAGCCCCGGCCAGCCTCAGGGGCCCACAGCACCCCCTTGTTCTCCCGGGGCAGGGCCCCCAGGCCAGGCACAGGCTCGAAGGCACATTCCGTGTCTGCCCCGAGTTTATTTCTGTCCCGTTGGCGTTGGGCCTCACCACTGTGCCCGGGCAGATAAAGCCCTCTTGTGCAGACGTTCAAAGCAGCCCTTTCCCCCCCAAAACCACACTGATGAATCACACGGTGACTTACAGCTCATCGAAATACCGGGAGTGAAAAGCACGTCTGTTCCGCAAAAAGACGTCTGTGCATACGATAAACTCAGACATCTGCATTCACATTTACTTCCTGCCAGACATTGCAGCCGCGGACACACAAACATTTGCTTGCCAATTAATAAAAATAACTTCACAGAATTCCTGCGTGATGGTGCTCTTAGCACCAAGCAGATACAGCTTTTTATCTCCAGTCATGACGCCCCCAAACTAAGTTTGAAACCACGATGCACACAAAACCCTGGCTTGAGCGAGTTATTTGGTGAGCCCTCGCTCTACCTACACAGCTCAGAAGCAGGAGGACGCAGGTCACGAAAGACGTCGAAACTGCCCTCCAAAGGGGGCAAAGCCTTCTTTTATATAAATTTAAGAAAAAGCAAACATCTCCCAGAAAACGGCAAGGTCTAAAGGGCAGACGTGTATTTCTGCAGGACGGACGATAATGCAGTGTCTTTATGGACCCCTAAAAAGGAGAAACGTCATTTAAATAATGCCCCCCCTCCCCAGCGGAGATTGCTATTTTTGCAATTATCAAAGCAGCTCATTCCCATCCCAGAACGCCGGTGTGCAAAGAAGTCGTCCTGCTGCAACCCGTCATTCCTGCTCAATAATCAAAACTGCTGCAAACGGGGCCCTCTGGGTCAGAGGTCGCGCATCTTAATGAAAAACTGCAACTCCGGGCTCCGCGAGCGCCCAGTGCCGCCCACTGCGCATGCGCGCCCCGGTCCACGCACAGAGCTCCCCGCCTCAGGCTCGCTCCCGGCGGGCACGTACTGCGCATGCTCGCCAGACCGGCCTCCCGAACCCGGCTTCAGCGGCACGCACCGCGCATGCTCGCACCTCCGCTGTCTTAGGGCCGCCTCGCCGGCGTGGGCCGCACCCCTAAAAACCTTAATAGTAGGAAAGCGTCCCCAGTCTGCGTCCTCACCCGAGCCCGTCGGCCCCACCAAAGGCTCCGAGGCGGCGAAGCCGGCGTGCGGCGACTCGCGCCGTCGCCGCGGTGATGACGTATGTCGCGCGCGATGACGCGCACGCGTGCGCCCGTGTGTGGGAGCGCGGCCGGCGCGCCCGTTTTGAAGCTGCTTTGAGCCGCGCGGGCCGCGCCTCGGTCTCGGCCGCGCCCCCCTTCCCGGGCCCGGCCCCCGCCACAACCCCGCGGCCCCTCGGGCGCCGGGGCCCGTCCGGCCGGGGCGCGGGAGTCCGGGGGCCGCCCGGGGGCCGAGCTCCGCCATGCCGCCCGGCAAGGTGCTGCAGCCGGTGCTGAAGATGAAGGTGGACGAGCTGTTCCTGCGCTGGCTCAGCGAGTCGGGCACGCAGCTCATGCTGCAGGAGTGTCTGCGCA